CAGCAGGAGGGGGGGTTGTGTCCAGCATTCCAGGCTGCCCCCCACCACTGGCAGTGTGGCCAGGCTGCAGTCCCTGCTGGGGGCCATACTTACCATCCCTCTCTCTCCCTGCAGTAGGGCCCCCCTTTTCCCAGGGTTGGCTCCCAGCCCCACTGATCCTCTGCCCGCAGCCAGTGTTACCTGCTCCCTTGGCAGACAGGGTGTGTGTGTCTGGGGCAAGGTGCTCACAGCCAGCAAGGGCATTTTCTGGCCTCCCTTCTCCTTGGTGTGGGGGTGTTTGCTAGGTGCCCTCTCAGCTGTGATGCCACTTGCGTGGAGGAGGTGCAAGCTGCCCCATAAGGCAAGTGCAGGGAACAGCCAGGCCCATGTGGGCAAGGGCATCCCAGACCCCTGCCTCACTGGAGGAAGAAGGGAAACCAGACCCCAATACCATTCCCCTCCCTCCAACTCCTGGCTGTGCTGCAATCTCTCATCCAGCCTGGGGCCCCTCCCTGAGTCTGGCTGCAAGCCGCCTACAGGCTTAATCCATGGTCTAAAATGCCTTGTGGGGCAAAGGGCTAGTGGGGTGTAGGCATGAAAACAGCAAGGCCCAGGCTCCTGTTATAACTGTCACTGCCCCTGAGCACTCTTAAAGCAACATGATCTCAGCCCCTGCAGCTGCTTCTGGGGTGGCTGCAGTCACAGCCGCATGCTGTGGCCACAGTGTCTAAGTGAAGCAGGCAGGGGATTTGAGGGGAGGCCGGCTGGGTGCCCACTCCTGGGTGAGCTGTAGGTGTAGGGCAAAGTAGGGTGGCTACTCAGTTCTGTTCTCCCCACCCCTCACCCAGCCAGCCTCTGTAGGCTACTAGTCCTTCCACTCACCTAGGAGACCCAGTCTGTCTGCACCAATCTACGAATGCCCCTGCTACAACCCAGAGCCACTAGCTACCTGTTGCTACCCCTCAGCTCCATCTGACACTGCTGGTGCTGGGGGGCCAGCAGGTCTGGGGGGCATGCAGGAAGGGGGAAGCTGACAACTGTCTCAGGATCACTCCCCCAGCTGAGCCACAGTGGGGCAGGCAGAAGGCTGGCTGTAGAGACCAGCCCCAGAGAACAGAGATAGGAGCTGTCCAAGCCCCACACTGTGGAAGGGTGACTGGTACATTTAAGGCAGGATTCCACAGGTCTGCAGGACTAGGCCCAACCCCTGTGTAACACGTAGCTGGTCAGCTCTGGCTCTTCAGACCCTTAGATCTTTGGGGCTTCAGCAGGCCAAGAGCAGCTCCAGCCCCAACCCCAGCAGGCCTCGAATTCCCCCCCCACCCCGCAAGGAGCAGCAGGCAGCTTGGCTGTAAAGGTTAAAGTCTGAGGATTTTTATTTATTATTTTTGTACAAAGTAAGACTATGGAGATTTCATTTTTCTGAATCAAAACACCTTTGTCTTCACAGTATGAGTTAGATAACGCAGCCACAGCTGGCCACCGACAGAAGAGAAGGATAATTACACTCATTACGGTATGAAAACCTGTTAGACGTCTCTTTAAAAGTAGATTTCTTACATTGTAATTCTTGGCACTGGTTCTAGAGAGAGCGGGACTCCTTCCGCCCGAGCAAGCAGGGGGGAGTTTGGCCTAAGGGAGGGGAGGAAGAAAGTTCACAAAAACTCTAGGGGTTCCCTGGGCGGGGCAGGAGCTGCACTGGGGCCTTGGCAGCCTGGCGAGGGGAGACTGAGACGTCTCTTTAAAAGTAGATTTCTTACATTGTAATTCTTGGCACTGGTTCTAGAGAGAGCGGGACTCCTTCCGCCCGAGCAAGCAGGGGGGAGTTTGGCCTAAGGGAGGGGAGGAAGAAAGTTCACAAAAACTCTAGGGGTTCCCTGGGCGGGGCAGGAGCTGCACTGGGGCCTTGGCAGCCTGGCGAGGGGAGACTGGCCAGCACAGAGGAGCTGGAGGCCAGGAAGCAGTGGGGGGGGGGGGTGGTTGGTGTTCCTGCCAGAGCACCTAGGTGCCACTCCTGGCTGTGGGGCTGCTCCCATGGGGAGGTGACTAATCTCTACCAGTGGATTAGTTACACAGAAGGGCAGGCCCCGATCCCCGGAGCTGGAGCCCAAGAGGTTCTAGGGGCCTAGTCCCCAGGGGATCGGGGCCTGCACCTCATGGGAACAGGACTGTGCTGGTGGCTGGGCAGGTTCGCTCTGGTTCAGACACCCTGGCTGAGTGAAGGGGCAGGAAGGGCAGGGCTGCTGCAAGATCAGCTTTAGGAGGCGTCTCAGCTCTTAGGATCGGGGGGGACGGGGGACGGGGGACAACTCCTGCATCTACTGCCCTGGATCCCTTTAAGCTTGGGGCCCATCTCGTGGCTCTAGGCAGAGCCCTACAGCCAGCTCCTGGCCCTGCTCTGAGAAGAGACGCTGCTGAAGGCCCCAAACCCTGCAAAGATTCAGTCAGTGGAGCTGGGGGGAGGGGACACAGGAGCTAGGGAGGGGCCCCCCCAGGAGCAAGCTGCAGGGTAGGAAGAGGAAACCAAACTCCAGGAGGAGCTGCTAAGCAGCTGGTTTCTAATAATAATAATAAAAAAAAAAAAAGCTCAAACAAGGGAAAACAACCCACAAAATACAAAAGCAACCCGGCTGCCTGTCGCTGGCAGAGCGCAGCCCCTTTAATGTGTGGGGGGGCGGCGGGGGCTCCACCCAACTGGCACCTGGCGTCTCTTCACTTCTCCTTCTTCTTCTTGTTCTGCAAGAGGAGAGGAGGAGTCAGTGCCCGGCCTGCGGCTGGCTCAGCCCTTCTGCAGCCCCTTCCATGCAGGCAAGACGGCTGCCCCTCGGGGGCCTCCAGCTTTTCCGTCCTCGCCAGGCCCTGCGCAGCCCCACCCTCGCGCTCAGCTCCATGGGGCTGCTGGAGGG